ATTTTTATATTAAAAAGATAAATAGATAGATGGTCTTTTGTCTACACCTGTGCAGGCGGTTGGGGTCCGTTAGGGGGTCAAAGAAACCTTCAGCTAACATCAGGGAGTAGCCCTGACCAGGAAGCCTCAGTTGTCTCTCTGTCCTTAGCGGTCCCATGCAAAGACTTTTAGACCGGAAACAAAAGGAGGAAATTAGAAGAGATTTTTGCTTCTCTCCTGGTGGGAGAGGTACTCACAAATTCTGCGTTTCCAAGGGTACCAACTGCTGGCTGGCATGAGGTTCAGAGGCTCTTACGTTGGGTGCCAGATATGGGTGTGCGGGGATCTCGGGGCGCCAGCTGCTAGCGTGGCGCCGGTCTCCTGCGCGCACCTGGGAAGCGGCGGGTCCCGCGGCTCATCTGCTCTGCGTTGCTGGTGGGTCCCTGCTTCTCTGCGTCTCTGTGGGTCTCTGCTACCAGGGCTTGCCGGGTCGAGTTCCACCCCAATTTCACCCATGCACTCTCTCTCTGAGTTCGGGACCCGTCAGCTGCCGGGTCACGAGGAGAGGTGCGGGATGGCAAAAGCTGGATTTCCGTGAGTCGATGACGGAAGGATAGCACCCCCCAGGGAGGCTGGATCGTAGGCAGTAAGACACAGAACTCAGCTCAGTCAGTGGTACAGCCCCTTTATTCAGTGACTCAGCTAGGCTCCAAGTCTTAGTGATCCAGCTCCGATTATTTTAGGATGCCTCATTTACATAGGGCGGTGGGCTTCTATCAGGCTATCAGACAACGCCTGATTAAAACCTGGTAGCTCCTGTGCCGGAGGGCATGTATCTTGTGACGGGCATTTCAAAAGTAAGGGAGGAGAGCAGAAGGCGCCCCGCTGAGAAGAGGAGTCTCCCCAATCGTGCCGAGCCAGCTTGTGGCTATCTGGACATGGGGAGATTGCTACCCTAAACAGCAGGGGTCCCCAACACTAAACCAATATACTGCTGAACTATTTGCACATCAGCACTATTCACAATAGCCAAGTTACAGAATAAGCCTAGGTGTGTGTCAACAGATGAGCAGGCAAAGGAAATGGGAAATATATACATGGTAGAGATTTTTTCTGCCATAAAGAATGAAATTATATCATTTTCAGGAAAGTGGATGCAACTACAGATCATCAAATTAAATAACATAATTGACTCAGAGAGACAAATATCCAGTTGATTGTAGATTTCATATAGATGCATAAAACCATTTATGAATATAGGATCTGGCTGCGGAAGCTGGTCTAGCAGAATAAAAATAACAGGAGGATAGAGAGTGAGTGTGGGTATTTATGGTCAAAGTACATCACAGAGTTGTATAAAAGTATCTCTGTGAAATCTTTCACTGTGCAATGGATATACACCAATAAAAAATTATACTAAAACATCTATTTTCAGTAAAACAAAAGCACAATGAGTGTACTGGAAGCAGAGGCAGGCAGATCTCTGTGAGTTCAAGGCCAGCCTGGTCTACATGGTAATTTTCAGGCCAGCCAAGGCTATATAATGAGACCCTGTCTCAAAAGAAAAAAAAAACAGAAAAATAAAAACTGCAAGAATTCATATAGCAGATCTACAATATAACAAGCATCAAAGGAGTCACCTAAACAGAAGGCAGAAGACACAAGATGGGAACTAAAAACACAAAACAGAATTAACAGCAGCAGAAACAGAGGGTTGGAGAGATGGCTCAGTGGTTAAGAGTGCTTGCTGCTCTTGCAGAGGACCCAAGTTCAGTTCCCAGCACCCAAGCTGGGCAGCTAACAACCACCTGTAATTCCAGCTCCAAGAGGTCCTACACCTTCTTCTGGTTTCTGTGGTCACCCACACATGTAGCATACATTCACTGTGACCAAGATGTTCCTCTGACCCTGTGATGACAAGCCATGGTCCCGCCTCCTTCCCATGTTCCACCGAAGGAGTCAAGCCCATTACCTCTTCCAGCCCATCAGTTGACCTTAGCTGCTTAAAGGGGAGTGACTAATGGTATATAAGCTGGGAAAACCATGAGGCTGCTCTCTCGCCATTTTGAGAAGCCACCAGACTTATGTTGGGTGTGGACTTTCAAGCAAAGTCGTGAATTGGGGGGCACCCTCTCTTCTATAAGTAAACCAGCACCCCAAGCTCAGTTAGGAAGTCCAATAAACTCATTAAGGTCCTCCAAACTGTGATTTTGGAGAATTCTTGCCTCAGGTTGTTGTAAGGACAGTGGGAGGAGGGAATCAGATGCCACGTGCACCTCCAAGCAGTGAATTTAACTTTACACACATACATCTACAGACATACACATATACATAAATACAAAATTAAAATTAATCTTTTTAAAAGATTAATTTTTCTACATATATCAGTGTTTGCCTGTTTGTATACATGTGCACCACGTGTTCAGTTCCCAGCACCACCCTCCATGGCATCTCACAACCATCTCTAACTAGAGTTCCAGGAGATCCATGTCCTCTTCTGGATTCTATGAGCACTGTGTGCAAGTGGCACTCTTACATACATGCAGGCACACACTCATACACACAAAATAAATTTTTCATTTTGAAAAGTAAAGAGGCAACTTGAAGCTCCATCCCTGAGATTCCCTAGTGCCCTGTCATCTTAATTTCCCCAGGTCAGGGTCACAGGGATCCTGTCCCATCCTGGATCTGTTCACACCTCCAGTTTTGACAGGGTTAGTCATGCCCCACTCCCCACCCCCTCTGCTCTCAGCCCAGCATGGGTCTCGGAGATCCTTCCCAGTCCCAGACTTGCAACTTGCAATTGTATCCCTGGGACTCCCTGAGAGCTGTAAACATATCCAAGTACACATGACACAATGATCTCATTGACCCTAGAGAAAGACCTACTTCACTCACTCCTCTAAACCAACATAATTTCTTACTGTATTCTAAATACATATCCTTATGTTTACAGACAAGTCTACCTCATACCACTCATCAAAGAAGCTTCTTTTTGCAGCAGATTGAGACTATTAGTAAGTGCACAGCTGGTCAAATGCAGAGAATAAGTGACTGTGGGGTGCTCAGTGACACATCTACAGTGCAACCTCTACACCTAAGGCTCAAGGAACATTTTGGAAGAGGAGGCAGGAAGAATGTAAGAGTCAGAGGGACAAGACACCTGCTGCTAGTTAATGTATTTAGATATGATAGGGAAGCTTCACCAATGAAATCTGCACAGTATGGTAGTCCAACAAGGTCTGCATAATGACAAAACCAGTTGACATGCCAAGGTGGATAGGGGAGTGTCACAGGGTCCCATCTCAAGATGAAGAGCTACAGGCAATCAATGGATGCTAAGGGAAAGAGAATCAGTGTTCTC